TAAAGTCTTGGATCTAAACAACGTGCATACAAGGGTATGACCGTATAAATTGTCAAATGGTTAAATTTTTGAACAAATACTGCCTTATATTTACTCAAAGTTACAGAGAAAAATTAAACAATCTGTACACTCTTCTTATTTAGTTTATGTAATAAATGGTATATGGCAGCAACTGTATCATGTTATGTAAGCATGCTGTTAGGTATGGCTCATAAATATATCAGTAAAGAGGACAGGAGATGGAGCGGAGTGAGCGAAGCGAACATTAACTGTCCTTACAAAGAAAGTCTCGTTGTGGGGTTACAAATTATGTGGGTTGGGGGTGCGGGGGCTACGCCCCCGCGGTATGGTACAGGGTTGATTTTGTAATTATGTACCAGGGTTTTCTATTATAAATAGAGATGTAACCTAGACCTAAAATATTATTGAATAAAATTCTAGCGCCGCCTAGGCACCGAGGACGTAAGCACATTGTCGAACCTCGTAAAATTCTCGTGTTCTTTCGTTTTCTTTACCCGTTTTCGTCAACAATTGGTATCAGATGTCAGGAGCAAAATTCGAAGTCGCGAAATTCGATGGTCAGGGTAACTTCGGATTATGGCAAACGAGGGTGAAGGATCTATTGGCGCAGCAAGGGATCTTGAAGGCTTTGCGACCTATAAAGCCGGCGTCGATGGATGAGGAAGAATGGGAAGAATTGCAGCAGCGAGCGGCAGGAACCATACGATTATGCTTGGCGGACGAGGTCATGTATCACGTCATGCATCTATCGTCTCCAGACGAAATTTGGAGGAAGTTGGAAAGTCAGTTTATGTCCAAATCCTTAACGACAAAACTGTATCTGAAGCAGCGGCTGTATGGGCTGAAGATGCAGGACGATCACGATTTGGCGCAACACGTGAATGTCTTCAATCAAATCGTTTCTGATCTGGCTCGGCTTGATGTGAAAATTGAGGATGAAGACAGAGCGATGATTCTGTTGTGTTCGTTGCCTTCCTCTTACGAACACATGGTGACTACTCTTACATATGGGAAAGAGACTATCAACGTTGAGGAGATTACTGCAGCCTTGTTGGCTCACAACCAGCGGAAGCAGAATGCAGGGGAAAGCTCTCAAGCCGATAGCTTATATGTCAAGGGTAATCGAGATCGTGGACGGAAGCCAGAGAAGGCAGGGTCCGGGAAGCGGAATTCCAGATCCAAATCCAGGGATAAGAAGACGATTCACTGTTACAAGTGCAAGGAGGCGGGACATATGAAGCGAGACTGTCCGAAGTTGAAAAAATAGACTGATGAGAAGCGTGATGGCTCATCCAAGTCTGTGAACGTGGTCGAGGATGATACTTCTGATTGCAGTGAGGGTGATATGCTTTCTATTTCAACGACACAATTGACGGATGCTTGGATTCTTGATTCTGGATGTTCTTATCACATCACGCCAAATAGGGAATGGTTTTCGACGTACAGGCCGGTTAATTCTGGTTCGGTTTATTTGGGTGATGATCGATGTTGAAATATTGTTGGTATTGGTGATGTCAGAATTAAGATGCACGATGGCTCCGTTCGGACGTTGAGTGGTGTTCGACATATCCCAGACTTGAAGAAGAATTTGATTTCCTTGGGCACTTTGCACAAGAATGGTTTTATCCCTAAGGCTGACGAGGATAGGGAAACCATTCGGATTGTTAAAGGAGCATTGACTGTGATGAAAGGCAAGATGACTGCAGGGAATATCTACAGATTGTTAGGGAGTACCGTTGCAGGTGGAGTTCACTCTGTTGAGTCCTGTGATGATACGACAAAATTGTGGCATATGCGCCTTGCTCATCTTAGTGAACGTGGTATGGCAGAATTACACAAGAGAAACTTGTTGCATGGTGTCAAAAGCTGTAAGCTCAATTTTTGCAAGTATTGTGTTCTTGGTAAACAGACTAAAGTCCGTTTCAAGACTGCGAAGCACACAACTCAAGGGATTCTTGATTATGTGCATTCTGATGTATGGGGGCCTTCCACGACATCGTCTTTGGGTGGATCTAGGTACTATGTTACTTTTATTGATGATTTTTCACGGAAAGTTTGGGTGTATTTTTTGAAACAGAAATCTGAAGTTTTTGAGAAGTTCAAGCTGTGGAAAGCTGAGGTAGAAAACCAAACAGGACGAAAAATCAAGTGTTTGCGGTCTGACAATGGTACGGAGTACACAGATTCACAGTTCCTACAATTCTGTAAGGAGCATGGGATTAAGAGGCATTTTACAGTGCGCAAGACACCACAACAGAATGGTGTTGCGGAACGAATGAACAGGTCGTTGAATGAAAGAGCCAGATGTTTGCGGTTGAATGCGGGGCTTCCCAAACACTTCTGGGCTGAGGCTGTTAACATGGCGTGTTACCTTATCAACAGATCGCCAAGGGCATCGCTGGCTGGGAAAGTTGCAGAAGAGGTATGGACTGGTCATGATGTTAGTTTTGATAACTTACGGATTTTTGGTTGTCCTGCTTATGTGCATGTACCTGCTGATGAGAGATCCAAACTTGATGCAAAATCGAAGGAGTGCATTTTTCTGGGTTACAAGAAAGGTGTCAAAGGATTCAAGTTCTGGGATCCAGTTGCGAAGAAAGTTGTGATTAGTAGAGATGTCGTTTTTGATGAACAGTCTATGTTGCAGCAGAAGCAAGACACGACAGTGGTAGATTTCGAGCAGTTTCCAGTTGAGAAACCAGAAACTTCTCAACCGACTTCTGGTGGTTCCACTACGGATGATTTGCAGGATTATAGTCTCGCCAGAGACAGGGTGAGACGGACGAATATAAAGCCTCCGAACAGATTGGGTTTTGAAGACTTGGTATCTTTTGCACTTACTGTTAGCAGTGATGATCCAGTTATTTTTCATGATGCCGTTACTAGTCAGGAAAACGACAAGTGGATGGCAGCCATGGTTGAGGAGATGGAGTCTTTGAATCACAATCGCACATGGGAGTTAGTTCCCCTTCCTGAGGGTAAGAAGCCGATTGGTTGCAAATGGGTGTATAAGAAGAAACCAGCAGTAACAGAAAAAGAGGGGGAGAAGTTCAAGGCTCGTTTGGTAGCGAAGGGTTTTTCACAGCAGAAAGGAGTTGATTATGATGAAATCTTTTCTCCTGTGGTCAGGCACACTTCAATCCGAGCAGTACTTGCATTGGTGGCTAGTTGGGATTTGCATTTAGAGCAGATGGATGTTAAAACTGCTTTTTTGCATGGTGATTTAGAGGAGCAGATCTACATGCGGCAACCTGAAGGTTTCACTCAACCTGGAAACGAGCATTTAGTTTGCAGATTGAAGAAATCTTTGTACGGGTTAAAACAGTCTCCGAGACAGTGGTATAAATGGTTTGACTCCTATATGATCAAGATTGGCTACAACCGATGTGAGTATGATTGTTGTGTCTATGTTAAGAGCCTTGATGATGGTTCTTTTATTTTTCTATTACTGTATGTTGATGATATGTTGATTGCTGCGAAGAACATGGATGATGTTATCGGTTTGAAAACTTTATTGAGTCAGGAATTTGATATGAAAGATTTAGGTGCTGCAAAGAAAATTCTTGGAATGGAAATTTGCAGGGACAGAGACTCAAGGAAACTGCGGCTATCTCAACGGGGTTATGTTGAGAAAATGCTAGAAAGGTTTGCGATGAGCAGCGCGAAACCAGTTAGCACTCCATTGGCGAATCACTTTAAGCTCTCATCTGAACAGTGCCCTAAGACAGATAAGGAAGCTGAAAATATGGCAAAGGTTCCGTATTCTAATGCTGTTGGTTGCTTGATGTATGCGATGGTATGTACTCGTCCTGATTTAGCTCATGCTGTTAGTCAAGTTTGTAAGTACATGTCTAAACCTGGTAAGCAACATTGGGATGCAGTCAAGTGGATCTTTCGGTACTTAAAGGGTACTGTGGGACATGGAATTGTTTTTGGGAGTCAGCGGGATAATCCTTTGGTTGTAGGATATGTGGATTCAGATTATGCAGGTGACTTGGATAATAGAAGATCTACGACAGGGTATGTGTTTACTCTTGGTGGAGGGCCTATTTGCTGGAAGTCTACTGTTCAATCTGTCGTGGCACTATCTACAACTGAAGCTGAATACATGGCAGCGGCTGAAGCTGCAAAAGAAGCTTTATGGCTTACTGGTTTAGTGAAGGAGTTGGGTGTTCAACAAGGTGGAGTTCAGTTGCTTTGTGATAATCAAAGTGCTATTCACTTGGCTAAGAATCAGGTGTATCGTGCTAGAACTAAACATATTGATGTAAGGTTCCACAAGATCAGAGAGTTGGTTGCATCTGGAGAGGTTTTGTTTCAGAAGGTACATACTGATGAGAATGCCGCTGATATGTTCACCAAGCCAGTTACGACAGACAAGTTCAAGCATTGCTTGGACTTGTTGAATGTTTCGAGTTGTTAAAGAAGCAAGGTAACCCAACCCACATTGAAGTTTCCAAGGGGCAGGATATTCGCCAAGGTGGAGATTTGTTAGGTATGGCTCATAAATATATCAGTAAAGAGGACAGGAGATGGAGCGGAGTGAGCGAAGCGAACATCAACTGTCCTTACAAAGAAAGTCTCGTTGTGGGGTTACAAATTATGTGGGTTGGGGGTGCGGGGGCTACGCCCCCGCGGTATGGTACAGGGTTGATTTTGTAATTATGTACCAGAGTTTTCTATTATAAATAGAGATGTAACCTAGACCTAAAATATTATTGAATAAAATTCTAGCGCCGCCTAGGCACCGAGGACGTAAGCACATTGTCGAACCTCGTAAAATTCTCGTGTTCTTTCGTTTTCTTTACCCGTTTTCGTCAACACATGCTTAATACAGGAAGTTTGAATATTCATTTATTTCTGGAACCCTTTCACCTTCAAAATCAAATGCTCAATCAGAGAAATTACAAAGTACTCAATCTGTAACATAAAACAGGGACAAAAAAGAAGTGATAAAGATGTTTAAATCGACGAACACAAGCACACAAATTTATTCTCAGATTACACAACAAGTTTAACTTACAGAAATACCCATCTGAATATACAAGATGGAGGTTGAAGAAAGGTTTAAATGGACAAATATAGTTCAGACATACAGCATGATATAGTAACATAAAGCAGGGTAGATGGAAGTGAAATAAGTCATCAATGAGATTATATGCACTTTAGGCTTCATGGTCACGGGGTCTTCACCACAGTAACAGGGCAGGAACCATTATTCACCAGATAATTGCTTACACTGCCCAATAGAACCCTGCACACATTTTAATAAATAAGGACATCAACCACAAATAATATATTTTCTCACATGCATGCGTGCTATAAAGTACCAGTATGTAACCACACCATACAAATACATTAACACAATAATTCTTTTTTTTTAAATATAGGACACAAGTACGATAGGACATGACAGTAAAAAATGTTTTTATATTAAAATACTTCATATAAAAAGAGGTTGATACTTCGTATAAATCATCGATCCGTCATGATTGTCTTTCGCGGAAGGATCAATACCAAAATGTGTGTATATATATATATATATTAAGATTGATTTGCTACGAAATCCACTTAGAATCGATGAAGTTAAACAAAATAATATATACTAATTTTTGGGTTTTAGGGGTTTTCTTAGATTTGAGAGGTTTGATGTGTTTGTTCGAAAATCCGAACGAGGAGAAATATAATTTCCAGAAGACGAGCAACATAGCTCAAAACTAGCTTCAATGGACAACCGTCAAAGGAGATCGAAGTATCAGCACATCAAACCTTCAAATAAATGTTCATTGATTGAGTGAGTTTCGTGGAAAATCAATAGAAGAAAGAGGAGTGAAGTACAAACATTTTGATACCGATCTTACTGCGAAAAACGAGAGGTTACGAGCGGCGATTGGCAACCACCGACGGCTGAAAAAGTATAAAGCGAAAAACTGAACTTTTTAAAAATTAGTGACAAAATCAAGTCACCACAGTGACAGAAAGATCCATCCATGCCAAAACAACATACTTGAAGTCAAAATCAAAATTGAGTGTTATAATTAGAGAAATTAAAAGTTAAGTGGTATAAGCAATACAGCTAAAATTCAATGGTATCTAGTGTAATTTATCCTTTAAAAAAACACGTGATTCACATAATAGATGATAATGATAAAGCAGTAAGAAACTCTATCAGTACTTCGGTTAAAATAATGCAAGGGTAAAGAAGCTTTGATACAATTATTTAATCAATGAGAAGAACAAGAAATTTCAAACTATTGATTTCAACCAAATTTAACGAAATAGATCTCCCAATACACAGGATTCTCATGTGAACAAGCAGTTGTTTGAAGAGGAAAGTAAAGCAAAGATTATGATTGGAAAGAAAGAGATATAATGATGGAATACTCACCTCTTAAGTTTGCTAAGGCCTCTGTTTCCAACAATTAAGCAGCTGAGAGGGATCTTATCAATGGCCTCACATAACTTCTCACGAGGATCACCCCAGTATATCTTCATCAGCACCTCAACCTCAACATTCCCAAGCAAAGAGAATTTTAAAAGGTAAAAGATGATATTAATAGCTTTATGTGCTTCAAATTCTTCTTTTCTTTAGAAAACAACTAATCGGTAGTTTTGAATTTCATGGATTATGGAGTGGGAGAAATAAGAGTACTTGTTTCTGCTTAGCAGCCGTGGAGACAATGTCCAAAGTTTCAGGGTCAACCTCTACTCTACTCTCTTCTCTTCTTTCTAAGAAAATGTGATATATAAATATTGTGATTTTAATAGTTATTCTTTTAATAGAATGTTTAATTTACCCACAAACTTAACACCTTTAATTAGTATAATTGTAACTATATTTTATTATTTTTTATCTTAACCGTTAAAAAAATATTATTCTTTTTTGGAGATTTTGAATACGGATAGTTGTATCTGTATATGTATTATTAAAAGATTATGAACATATATTATTTTATAATTATCTCATATTATTTCAAATTTTTTTCTAGTTTGACCTTGTAATTTGTTTTTTTTTATAAAAACTATTATTTAAATGTATAAGTATTTTTTTGGCATAATGTATAAGTATTTTTTCAATATATTTAATAATATTTTAATTAATTTGTATGAGATATTATATGAATTTATTATATGTTCTGTTCATATCAATTTAACTTTTTTTACGGTAAACTAATTATTTAATCATCCAACTATTCGAATGATTTTATTTTGATCATTTAACTATTATTTTTTCAAAATTATATATAACTTTATGTTTTGGTTATTTTGATCACCTGTCGTTAAAAATTAATAATTATGTTGATATGTCACCATAAGGTAATTTCATGTCATTATTGAAAAAATAAAAATATAATAATAGTAATTTTGTTAATTTTTTAACGATAAGATGATAAAAATGAAATTAAAACATAATATTATGTATGCTTTTAAGAAAAAATTAATTATATGATCAAAACAAACTGCACGAATAATAGAATGATTAAATAATTAGTTTATATGTTATGGTATAATATTTGAATAAAAAGATCTCAGATTCTTTTTTAGTAAGGACTTTAGCTTTATTCATTCATTTTTTAAAGGAATAAGACCAGAACTTTAAAGAAAGGGCCAGAAAAGTTTGTACATGGAGTCCACTGTTATGCCTTTGATGGATGAGCACAATGGATTCTGATGAAGATTAACGGTGAGTGTGAAGGTTTTAGACATAAGGTGAGAAGCATAGGATTGTTTTCTTGTTGTTGGGCAGTGACCCCACGTGTATATTTTTTATTTGAGGTGAATATTTGTGAAGTTGGCCACTACGGAATGATTGTCTGGTGCATAGCACATTTAGCCACTTGTTAGAATAATCATAATTAACAAACTATTCAAAGAATGTTAACTACAAAATGGCCACTGCTACACTTTTGCCTTTTTTTTAATATAATATTAATAATTTTGTATTGCTTAAAACCGAAAAGGAATTTGAGTCATAAAACAACCATATAGAGAGAAAAACCACAGCAGTACATATCTAATGCGTTTATCTTATTCTTATACTGGTTAGTCGAGATGTCTTCGCCTCAAACTTGACTTATGAAAACTACTCAATACGATAGAGAGTTGGAGTGATTTCATTTTGCCTTAAAAAGCGTCCAAATGTCCTTTACATAGTGAGAGATATTTCAACTCTTCACTTCTACCAAGATAAATTTTAAGGCGAGAAATTAAAGTTTGAAAGCGATCAAATGGAGTTTAATTGGTTAACCGATATGACTCAAAAATCAAGGTAATACCTTATTACCCTAAGCGTGTTTTATGATACATGTTGGTAATTTGTTGATGCATGATTGAAGTTATTGGTCAATTACATAGAGTTAATTATTGATGGACTCGAATTGAATACAATATAAAGACAATAAACCCAATAAGACTCAATTGACTCGTGTAAGGAACTAGAAGATCGTTAAGAGATAAATCTAAGTTTAGTGATTTAATCAGTATCAGTTAATCTCAGGACTCTTAAATTTTGATTAATCTCGTTAAAGGTTAAATGTCGGAAATACTTGGATAAGAAACTACGAAAATACATGTATGATGTAAAAGACAAGGATTGTCCCTGAAAGTAAAAATAACTCTGTTAATCGATCATAACCTTTGAGATGGTAAAATACTTAGAATTCTGATTCTTAAATAAACACCTAAAGACTAATTTTCCATAAGTAATGTATATGTCAAAATTAAATGAAATGATTGAAATATCTCGAAATGAGAAAATGACCTAGAATTTCTAATTCCTAAGCCAACACCCAGATGCTAAATTATCGAAAGTACTTTACACATATGAATTATTCAAAATGACTATATTATATGACAAAGTTGAACTGAATGGAAGTATTATACGTATTTGAATTGTTGAAATGATCGAATTACTCTGGAACCTCCAAAATGAATGGGATAAACTTGAATACTAAATGACCTAAGTACCTTCAATGACCTAGAATTAAGTGGATGATTTGGATAAGTCTGGAAACGCTGATGAAATTATATGTTATACCATCCATAAGGGTTAGGAATACAAAAATGGAATAAATATCATTGGACTACCTGTTCGTCTCCCTAAGATCCATTCAACGATGACTCTGAAGGTGATCAGTTAAACTAGAGTAATCAGTATTAAGAAATGAATAATGGTGAAGTACCTCAGTCTGAATGATTGGCAAGTATCACAGTGTTGGGATTGGTTAGTTTAATTTGACTCGAAATCCTGATAATTCGATATAAATCCTAAATACTATAAATTGATGTTTTGCACTCATTAGGTTAAATTACTAAGAATTCTTCAAGAAACCAAAATGTCTAAAATGGCTCCGATTGCCTGAATAATGGAATCACTCCTGTCATATATGAAATCTCAAGTAACTCTGATATAAAAGATTCTGAATACCTTCCTGATTACTTAGTGCATTCACAAAATATCCGAATACTATATGATCTGGATAAATCACTTTTCGAATGATTGATGAATCTGTTAGCTATCAAACCCCTTTTTATATAGATCTCATTTATGAAATTCAACTAGTTTGTAGAAGTTTCGTGTTTCTCCCGCTTGACAAATACTAAGAACCTCTGGAAAATAATTGGATCCTCTAGTGTGTTTCTTATGTGCCATATAATTGTTTTACCTGTTTTAAAATGTGATTTTCTGAAATTACAGATTTTTACTGATTTATTGATTTACTACTTATGAACTATGGCTACATGATATATGTTCTATGGTTACCTGTTTTGACTAGAAAATATAATCGTTCCTCATTTATGGATCATGGAATCTACTGTTGACTGTATGAAACGATTATTAGGATACTGCCTGGGTAGGATTCTGGAGTATTAGGTTCAGCTCCGATCAAGCTGGTAATCCCTCATGTAGGTTCAACTCCGATCAAGCTAGTAAATTCTCATGCAAGTTCAACACCGATCAAGATGGTAATTCCTTAAGGTGGCTCATCTACTGTGTGCATTGGGTAAGTCCTTATGGGCCTTAGGGAACACCTCTCAGGTGGGCACCTGTCACACCTATCTCCCGTATATGAGATACATATGTCACATCACTTTTAAAACATTTTCTCATTTGAAAACTTGTAAAATTTTATTTCAAATTTTAAAACCACACAATTTAACACAATGATAATGTAACATCCCAAACACCGAGTTAGTGACCAAATTGTAAAATTTTAGAATTTAGTGACCAAATTAGATAAATTGAAAAGTTTAGGAACTTAAGTAGAATATCTTTGTATATGACTGAATTGCAAAGAAGGATTAATGGAAGGGTAAAATGGTCTTTTGACAAGTAAGTGAATTAAAAATTAATTGTGGTTATCTTATAACCACGTGGAGCATGTGGGAGGGAAAAACAAAGAATTCCATAGAACTCTCTACCTTTCTTCCTCATTCAGTCCTGAATCCCATTTGACAAGGTGAGTTTCATATCAGCTTTTTATTTATTGAAATTAAGCTTGGTTTAGGTTCTTTAGGTAATACTTAAGCTTAAGGAAAACTTAAGTTCTCTTAAAACTAAAAGACGAAGAAATTATGGAGGATTTAAAATAAAAGGTTGTTAAGTGAAATTGTGGAAATGAGTTAGTAAATGAGTTTTGAGATTAAATTTGACTTGTCATCAGTTAGAATAAGAAGTATAGAAATGAATTAGAACATGCTGGAAATTTAGTAAGATTATTGGTCTCAAAATATATGATGAGATTTTTGAAGATGATGATGTGTTATATGGATATAAGATGATTTGAGTAAGTGTAGTCAAGTTTAATGGCATGAAAAGAGTTCAAAATGGAAGGTTTAAGTAGGTATTGGTAAATTTTCGGGTTAAAGGAGTGAATTATGGGCAAGGGGTATCGGTACTGTTCATCCAGTACCGATACTTCAAAGAGAAATGGATGATATTTGGGGTAAGGGTATTGATACTGTATGAACAGTATCAATACCATAAGCTAAAAGTTGATAATTTATTCAAGGGGTATCGATATTGAAGAGGTAGTATCGATACCAATAGTACCGATACCATTATGCAAGTATCGATATCATTTTTAGAAGGGAATTTCATAACCGAGAAAGGGTATCGATACTATACCAAAGCATAGTATCGTTACCACAATAAAGCAAGTATCTGTACTGTATCTTGGGTATCGATACTACTCAAAGTAAAAATGTGAACTAAGTACTTCTTTTAGTTTATATTATTAAGGATCAAATTATAATGCTTAGAATTCTAATTTTCATATCAAATGTATAATTGTGTAGATATCGAACATAAGTAAGTTCTGAAACAGTCGAAGAGTTAAGATCGATCGAGAGAGAGGGAAAATGAGTTATAGGAGTTAATTGGACTAAGTGAGGCTAAGGTGAGTGCATACTATATTATAGATAGTGTTTTATGGAAATAAAACTTGTGATAATTCTATTTCCTATGTTGATTCCATGAGTATATAGTTATAAGCATGTTGATGTCATGATTATTATGAGCACATGCATAAGTGATATATGTTTATATGTTATGATACATATGTTACGCGATCTATATGGACATAAGAGAACAAAACATAAGCTATATGATATAATATAAGTAGTTATATGGCCATATGATATATGATATGAGACAGAACCTATGTGATATATGAGAAATAATATGAGTTGTATGAGTATATGTATATATGATGATTTGGTTGACTATG